CCTTCAAAAGTGATGTTTTGAATCGATTCCAAGGTATTAAGATTGCACAACCCATGCCAATATCTAATATATCTCTTTCTAAATTTCAAATACTTTTGGAATGTTATAAAACACTTATTATGCCCTATTCGGTGCCTATCTGTCATTAAAAATCGCGCCTCTTGACATACACCCCTGCAACTGCACCCATGGAGTTGCAGCTCCTCCCCGCTGACATGCCGACAGGGACGAGCGATCTGAAACTCGCCCGCGCCCTCAAGACAGGGTCCCCAGGAATCGGGTTTTTTGCGAATTTTGGAGAGTTTGAAGTTCGGAACTGTAATCAGGGCCACGGAAAGGCCCCAGAATGACGAAAACATGGGGGGCCAAATTCTGGGTGGACGCTGCCTTTAAAGTAGATTGATTATTCACTTCAGTAAGAATAGGCTTTTGATGTAAGCCCAATGCTTTTTGGACACGATTTTTAACACAGATCATGTCGCCAAATTCAAAAATTTTTCCAAGGTCAGGAGCATTGTTGTAACATGCGCACGGTTTTTTACAAGGGAAGCTACCCAACTTAGCTTGGCCTTTTGGCAAGGAACATACACAGTCTGAATCAGCTTCAAACGCTGACTCCAAATATGCTATTCCTAGCTGCCACGCACCATTCCGAGGCGGGCTATGGGCTTTTCCCGGACAAAATTGGCATGCTCATCGACTCACGGGCATCACGTCGTCATCAATTTTAGTGCTGATACACCTGCGCTAAGCTTTTTTAGTATAGATAGTCTTCTTATGTTCAATAGTATGTCTCAATTTTGCGCAGGAAAAAGCTCATAACTCGCTTCGGAATGATGCGCGGCAGCTAGGAATAGCATACTTGGAATCAGCGTTTGAAGCTGATTCAGAAAATATATGCCTTTTACCGAGCTAAGTTAGGTAGCTTTCCTTATTAGAACAAGGTTCAGGATGTTTCTTGCCTCAGTGTCACACAAGCGAACAAAAGGAGCGGAAAGTTGTTTGCTTAAAACTCTCTCTGCGCTTACCTTTAACGTGCACTAAAATTTTCCGAACGTCCAAACTTCAAAGTCCAATTGCAGATCATCAAGTTTTTCATCCTGCTTATGGATGAGATATAAACGATATGATTACTGCAAACCAAGAAGATAACATCAGTAAGCACTTTTGAAGAAGTCTCAATATCACGACATCTTAGTCTTGGGAGACTTACCAGCGCAGTCTTCTGCTGCGTATCCAGAGAGTTCAACTAATTTTTCCGCGCCTTCTTATGTTTACACCTTTTTTGAAAAAAGGAAAGTATTGTCGTGAGCCTGCATTACCTGCCTACATGGTAAAGTCGTCGCCTTCCTACTTTGTTATGAAGTGAGCTTTACCAACAAACTTAACTGCAAGCTGAAGTGCTTGCAGTTAATTCCGTTGGTAGAGATCATCTATGCTCTCTACACGGAGTCACTTACTTCTACTTCTGCAAACAAGCGAATGATGAAGCACTGAAGAGTTAGTCAAAATTGCACTTTTCAAGCAGAAACTGAGAGACTGCCAGCAAGAATGCTTAGTTTTCTGCGCTCTGTATGCCGTTACACATGATTCTCTTTTTAACTCATTAGTTCAAAAAGTGCCTTTCCGAATACACCTAGGGCGCGGCACAGTAGCCTAGAAGCAAGCTGGATATTGTTTTTGGGAGAAAAAGCAAAGATGATATCGTTTTTGCGGCCCGCCTGCCGCCGGCACGCTGCCATGATTCCGGCGGCATGCTCTCTCAAACAAACGAAGGGCTTGTTTACAGTGAAGTGAAAATGAAATGACATTAGAATTGGTGTGTAGATGAGCAATGAGGAGTTAGGACTAGGTATGGAAAATTATGAAAAAGTTAGGTAAAGTGAAGGCGTGCTCAACTTTTTTCGAAGTTAGGTTGCTTTCAAGCCACCTGTAAGCCACCTGAGGTGGCTTGAAAAAGAAAAAGTCATAATTTCCCTCCCTCACATAATGTTCCCACCTTCTTTACATAAATATTACATCTCAACCCTATAAATTGGTTCTTACGCCTCAAACCCCCTCCTACCCCCTTCTCAGATAATCGCGGGGGGCAGGCGGTCCGCAAACTCGCGTTTCCTCGCAGGAGGTCGGCAGAATTTTGGGGCGTGGCCAAACCTTCGCAGGCGGTACCTCCTTTACTGTCTAACGTTCTGCCAGCGGGCAGTAATACAGCATTTTTTGCAAGCGCTCGGCAAATAATTTCTTTCAGCAAGCGCTGACCAAACTTTTGGCAAGCGCTCGGAATCTTTTTACGCATTTTCGGGCGTACGTCGAGCACAGGTAAGACTCTGTGTGGCAAAAGTGTCACCGTTGGTTTAATTACTCAAGTTTGAGGTACTTTCTCTCAACGGAAAGTATCTGGGGGCTGTGCGGATCTCCACAAAAGACCGTGCGGCCCCTGAAAATTTTTCATATTCTTGCGGAAAGTCCGTGAGAATGCGGCCACTGCGCCGCAGCTAATCTATAAGGAAACCGCGATTGTTCTTCAAGCATTCGTCTAAAACTTCGCTAAAATTATTCCAGATTTCTGCAAGCGGATGGCCGCCTGCCCGCGGCGATTATCTGAGTTAGTTACAACCCCCTGGAAAATTTGAATGGCGGCGGCAATGCTGCCCCGGGCGCGTAGTGCTGCTTGCTGGATACATCATGCCGCCAAACCGGAGAATACGAATATCTTCGCGTTTGTTTGATGCTTCTTTGGGGTTTTTTTGTTTTGCTTTGTTCCCTTCCTTTTCATGTGTTTTCTCAATATCTCACGGCGGATATCGTAATTTCATGGTGAAGTCAAAGGGGATTCGTTTTTTGCAGTTTCGCGAAGCCACCTCGCCGGGCCCTGGATATTTTTGGATACCTCCAAAAATCTTCCTACTCAAATTACGTTTGGCGATATTCGTCCAGCTCATTGTGAAGGTTTGTTACAACTTCATTGGCATCAACTATGAACGACAACGCAAATTCGTAGTTGTTTGCCTTTTGAGAACAAGGCCTTCCACGGAAGTCAATTTTCAGATAACTTTTCACGTACTTCTATTTACGTATACCTATAGCTGCTCTGAGAGGACGGCAACGATAGCGGGATAATGATCCTTAATATTGTTCAGATGTTCCTAAGGCTCGTCCAAGCCGGAAGTTCGGGACAGTTCCAGCACAGCGCACAAACTCAGCCGGGGTTCATACTGATCCGGAAGTTTCGGAACAATTTCCAGGCGCTCGCACACGGTTGCGCTGCAGCCGCTCGCATGCGGTTTGAAGGGCGTAAAGTAGCAGTTTTTGACTTTTTTCAACGGTTTTTATGCTGAAATTTGTACTTCGCTCGCTTTTGTGTAAAAAGTTCCCATCTTCAAGAGGCGTGCAAGAATGAGCGCTGTATCGTTGCGTATCGGGATGCAAGCTGTAACAAACTGATACCGCTTCCACCTGTTGTACATTCCTCCAAATTCGGAGTTCTTCTGTCGAAAGCTCACGATAATCAAGAACGAACTAGCAAACAGTATGAGTTGTTCGAGGAAATGGGGCTGAAACGCCCACAAAGCAAATCTCATCAAAAAACGAAAAAATTCGAGATTGCCGCAACCGTGATGATAGTATTCTCTGCGAAGGCGGCTTGTGATATCGTGGACGCAGCGGCTTTCTGAAATCAAAAAGAATGTTCTACAGAAATTCCGCGAAGGGGAAGGGACGCGCGAAAAAAAAGACATCTTCTACTCCCGACAAAACACGGAAAAGCTTCTACTAACCTCTTCGAGTAAGGAATTTTCTTCAATACCAGGAAAAAATAGAAGAATGAGACGAAAATGGTTAAGATTCACGATCAAAACCGTCCAAGAAAGTTAAAAACTGCTTTTCTGCGTCGCAAAAACCTCAAGCAGGCGGCTGCAGCGCATGCAGCACAGTTCCGGAACAATTCCACCACAGTGCGAGAACTGTGCTGGAATTGTCCCCGAACTTCCGGATCGATATGCCCCAACCTTGAGCGTTGTACTGGAACTGTTCCGGGACTGCGGAATCAGTATGAACGCATCCTAACCCGTTGCTTCCTTTTCGCAATGCTTACGCGTACATTCGGGTAGCCGAACAATGCTGATGAGAGATTGAGCAGAAAAATTTACCCAACATTTAACAGCTATGACAGTGCCCAGGATTGATCCCGATGAAAAGAGAATGTGAGAGATTATAGCAGGAGAAAGACGAAGCTGAGCTTGACGTGCATATTGAAGCAAATCAAGCGCTGGGTGAACTTTGACTTCTAAAATTTGCGTGGCTCCTCAAACCCTGATATAGTCATGCATTCAAGAAGCTCATTTTATGAATAGCATAAAATGGAGTGAATAGGTTACTTGATGGTTAGAGAACAGGCATAGGAGGGTAACGCCGGGTGCCCCAGCTATTCTCAAATAGGTGCGAAGCTGATGTCATTCTATTTATCTTATGTAACGTATGTTTAAAATGAGAAAATTTCTAAACTGATTTGGTCTTTCTCGCACACAGACACTTTTCGAGACGAGTGGAACCCATGAGCTATTTTTCGTCATCGATCAATATTGATTTTTTCTGCAAATCTTGAGCTAAGAGCTTCATAATAATTGTAAGTGAGCCTGATTACGAATATAAAAGTCTTTCTAAAAATTATTTTGTTTGCACATTACTTATATCTTTCGTCGACTCTGTGCAAACCATAGGCTACGGGCTGGCATTTGACACACGGCGGTAACTGAAAACGCTGATCAAGGTTTCAGTAATTTTCTTTGAAATTATCAACAACTTTGATGATTCTCAAGAGCATTAGCGTTTAGCATTTTAGCGCTTATTTGCAAACATTGAGCTGGGACGTTGGGAAATGCTATATCAGCTATTCCATATGTCCTCATATCGTGAAACCTGGGCATTTTCTTAAAATGGTAGAAACAATTATTTTCTTATGCCGTACAGGTTTTTATAACGACACACTTTATTTGACTTACGTTTCGGCAACCAGCCGTCGTCGGAGGCCTAAAAGTAGTCAATCACTATGATCTACGTTCTCATCGACAAACACCCTCCTCTACTTGACTATTCGTCCTCTGTGGAAGGAGAAAGCTCGGAAGACGAGATTCACTCACTTGTGTGTCACCAATGTAGCACTGTGACTGCTGGAAACTTGCTCGAATGGCTGTGAGTCGAGAATAAGGCGAGTTTATACTACAAGACTGCTTATGTACGTACAGAAAATCTATGGATTCCTGAAAGGCAGATATGGCATCAGATCACTTGTAGTGGATAACTTTTCATTTTTGCTATCAAGTGTTGGATGAAGAGCAAAGATGAAGGATGCCTCTAATGCTAATAGTATATCAGCTGTTTGTTTGAGACGTACTCGTAACGAAATTAACATCAATTTGGACAGCACCCCCCGTATTTATCGCTCGCTTGCAAGCTTTGAGGTAGATTGGTGGGAGCTCGTACAAGGGGTAAGTGAGTAGGCTGATCACTGAAATACACTAAGGGCAGGTAACAACATATGAAAGTGGGAAGATAGGAAAATGTTGTGCGAATATGGAGAATAACTTTGAGTTTTATCATGGTAATCGACAGAGCAGAGCGGGGCCATGTACGCCAGCTAGTCCCACAAAAAACATCAAATTGCGCACTTCGGCTTTACGTCTTCCTCTTATCAGAGAATGCTCTACGTATCCTCTTTTAAAGATCTACCTTCCCTTAGACATATTACGTCACGCAACAACAGAATTTGCACAGTCGCCTATCTTTCTGTAAGCGCAAACAATGCGTTTTCAATAGCATTTATTCGCGTCACCACTAATTTTTGGTGTTATTGTTTGAAATCTTTTTAACATGACATCATCGCAGCTGCGCTATGCGCTGCTTCATCGACGTTATAGTCCCTTGTTTTTATATGTGGTTCGTAAGATCTTTCTCGTCCATATCTTATACTCACTTAATGTTTAACCGAAGCGAAATTGCGGATCGGTAGCCATACATTGCATATATGTTATCTGAGTTCATGTACTCGAGTTGATCTTCAAGGTGGCTATTTTAACAATAACACCTTATAACAGTGGCGGTTTTGAGAAAATCTTTGACAACGCGGAAGTTCAATATTTCTAAAAATAAATGGCTTGTCAATATTAATCACGTCATGATACTGCGCCAAATCTATTTTGTTGCGCCATGAAAAAACAATTATGAAAAATTACGAAAACATTTTGTGAATCAAAGACTTGGAAAACTTTTCAAGTTAGGAGGCTTCATGCTACCTGGCGAGCGAAATGAAAAGTCCGAAGACAAAGTCGATAGATTTACCTTTTCACATAATTTCCTGAGCTTTTATACATAATTTCTACATTCCAGATCTTGTAATGTTTTTGAACCGCTCTTTCTCCTCTCCGCTTACTTGCGGCCCCTCAAATCTAATGGTGGGTGGTAACAATACGCTTCAAGCGTCCGGTGTGGGTTCTGAACATAGCATGCCCTCAATTCAGAGATCACGAATGTTAAGGAAATTGATGAATGTGCTCTGATGTTCGCTATTCTGCTCTTTTTTCTTTATTTCAAGCCTTATTTCTGAAAGTTTCTTATAAGAGTTGTCGTTTCGAAGGCACCTTGCAAGATGCCGTCCTTTTTTTTCGAAATCAGCAAAACCTTCTTTCAAAAATTTTCTTACGCTACCACGGATCGAGCCCTAGTCTGACATGAACATACGAAAAGAATGTGTCAAGAAGCAATAGACTAGTCTTTCTGAAGAAATCAGCACTCAGAACATAAAAAGAACTTACCATTCCTTTAGCTTTCGCATGAACTGAACAAGAGGCGAAGTGCTGCACCAGGGTAGATTTAGATGGGGCCAATAGCGGTTCAAATGGGCAATAGAAGCCTTTGTTGACTTGCCAGTAGTGAGCTCAGCTTCCGCCTTACTTTTTGAACTGTAGCGCACGGCGCGTCCAAAAAAGCCGTCTTTTCAAGTCTAACCACCAGTTGTTTTTATAATGTACTGAGCAGTTTCCGTTGAGTGGTCTTCGATCCCTGGGTGGTGCTAGACAGATACAATCGGCAATGCCTAAACTATACATCACGTGGAGATTGCGAAGGATTGTGGTATTTATCCAAATGCACGCTTCGATTCCTTCTCTCCAGTTTCTCCTCCTGGGAGCTTACAATAAGCATACAAAATCAGGTTGCAAGTTCATCTCTTTACGAATGGCTACATTTTCCGGGAATCTCAATGAGAATCCTTCACGAAAACATGATCGAATTTTGGATCAAATTGTCAGCTACGTGGCTTGGAGCATTTTCGAAAATTGAAAATACTTGTAAAAATGAAAGATGGTGTGCTAGGACAGAGGAAACACGGAAAACCCTTAGAGTATATGACAACTAGTAAAAGCACTGGATGGCACACAACTCCGACATAATCTCAAGCGCTGCACGAGTGCTTGCCCACTCAACAATTTCATGCCCCAACCCTCCGTTAAATGGACTATAAGTGACTGCGCGCGCCCTATGAGTGACCTTACGCGTCTATAGTTGACCGGATCACATGCTCAATAAGCTGCTGGTGATCAAGCGATATTGGATCGTTCCCCTGTGGAAATCATGATGCTGTTACGTTAACGCTTGAGACACCTTGTGAAATGTTTCAGTTTATTTAAGACTTTTCAAAGGCATTTACATCCTCCCAGGCACAGAATATGAAAAAGCTATTTTTTCGAGTCCAATCACCTTACATGGCCATTGAACAGTTCTGCAAGACAATTGAGACAAATTACTCTTATACAAAGAAAGTACTGCGTCTATGTCTTGCAGGATGAAGGGGAGGAAGGTTATAATAATGGATTCAATGAAACAATTATACTAAACATTTTAACAAGAATCTCCAGAAGCAACTATGCTCATAACATAAATTATCCTCCTTTAGCTGTCGCCCGTCTGATGTGAACATCGAGATGTTTTTTTGGTTGCGTTCGTTAGCAGATAGGAACCCTCACATTCAAAATGTGACTTTCGAAAATGTTGGAACTCATCATAATTGTAAGCCACGCAAAACAGGCCATCAGTGAGGCACCCCCTCCCCTTTCAAAATTCGTATTTTTATTCTCGGTGTCGTAAAACGTCAAAAATGGTACTTCTCGCGAAATTTATTCCGATGATCCGGTATGTTTGGTGGAAGAATAAAAAACAAAAACGATTTTTTTGCCCTTTGTGCACAACTTTCGCTTTTCTGCCAGCTCTTTACAAACATAAAAGTGGGAAAAGCTAGATGCAACTAGGAGCAACACTTATAATAAATTGTTTATGAGCAAAGTGGAAGGAATGCCGCAAATAGGATGAAGATGCAAAAGCACATGCTGCGATGTTTGCCATAGCTTAACAGAAACTCTCTGAGTGTAGTGGACTCTAATTACGGTAAGAAGAAGTCAGTGTTTTACAAAACAAGAAATATTGTTTCTTTGTGGCTGTTAGCCCAATATCTTCCTCGTGATTGACTGATTTATGCACATTCACTCACAACTGAAATGCATCTACTATCACCTATTACAGTAAATATATTGCTGAGCGCCTGCGAATCTCAACGTTTGGGGAGATAACGTTCTTTCTAATTTATCATGACATCGTTCGTATACTGAAGTTAAAAAATTTATGACGCGAAAATCTGCGAAGTAGGGAGGAAGGTTATAGGATCTTTCCGTATTTGAAACGACTTCTGGATAACAAAGCGTCCATACCCAATTCTTTTGTGTTCGACGAGATACTCGAATTCTTGCGTTGACTTCACCACTTTCTTCATTTGCGGACTAAGAATCTGGTTCTTTACACGATTGGCAATCTTTACATTGGAAGTCAGAACATTAGTGAACTCCCTCATTGTGATGTCCCATGCAAAAAACAGGTTGTGAGCAGCTATTATTGCCAGTCCATGAATATAAAAGTAGAATATATTAACTAATTTATCAAAAATAGGCGAGACTACGACATACTTTGCGCGTACAGAAACGATAACCTTGAGAAAGCTATGGCTGTTGTGGGAAAGCTTCAGCGTTCTTAAAGCATTGAAAACCGTCTATTTAGATTCGCAAATCATGACCACAAGAGCAGCAAAGGGGAAGCCAAATAATGGTTGTATTGAAAAAATTCCAAAAAATGCTGTATGACCTTGTTTAGACGTTGTTTGACATTTTCGCAACCGCTTTGTTCAACGTCATCGCTTGCCGGTGATACAGAGAGCTTAGATTAATTCTTTTGAGAGTTTTGCAAAGAAATGTGTTGTGATGCTATGTGCTTGCAACAAAAAACATCTCACTGATCATCAAAGAAATTTTAGAAAAGGTCTATCAAGCAGAAAAGACCAAGATGAGACATTGAATCAGAACCTCGCACAAAAACAATTGTGTTGCATGGTACTTGTATACTATAAGACCATCAAGAATGTTGATGTTGTAAAGATTGCTTGCTGAGCACTAATACTTGAAAGAATTCAACTCAACACAATGATATCGTTCAGTCTTTTCTTAGTAGACGTTTTCAAAGTCAGTTTGGATATTGCGGAGCATGAGGCAAAAAGTTCGATAATTGAAGATTAAAGTTATCTTGTTGGAATAGTGCATTTCTGATAGGTTACAAACACATATGTAATAGGACAGCAATAAAAGGCAAGGTGTCATCGTCATAAACCAGAATAACATAGACAAATGAAAATGATTTCTGGCCACTAATCCATTTGGCATGCGTATAAGGTGCAAGCCCCCCAAGCCCACAAAGAGCAAACAATGACACAAAAACGAACTATCATGCATAATTTAGCCTCAGAGTCACTTTGAACTTGGTATTTTCGTCGCTTCAGACAGTATTCGTTGAAAATGTAGACAAGCATATTTGCATACCGCTTTTGATAGACATATAAGGGGCCAAAACTGTGACATGGCATGCACTGAATCACTTTCGCTCTACTGAGTATCTGACCTACTTAGTTCTCACTGTACCACTGGAGTAAAATTCAATGTACATGTCCTGCTTCATCGTCTGGTCTATAAACCTCCTTTTGTTTTAGTCTTGGCTTGTTCCTTTATTTTGAATGTTTCAGCAGCTTGCTTGCGTAATGGACGCGCAAGAACAAAATCACGCTCTAGGCCTCATTTCTGCAGTCCTAGCTACTGCGCTTTACGGCTCTTGTTATGTGCCAGTAAGATGGTTTGAAGCAGGCGATGGTGGGGTTTGCGTAAAATTTAAGCTCGAGAGGAAAAAATAGATTTAGGCTTGTACTTTCAATGGCTGATGTGCATTGGGCAACTTCTTAGTGGAGTCGTTGTACTGACGTTTGTTGGCTGGCCACCAGTCTTCCCACTAGCAATGCTTGCAGGATTCTTCTTCGCTTTGGGTAAATGAATTTACCACCTTTGTGAGTTGGCCAATAAATCTTATCTTATTTAAGGTAACGCACTAACAATAACCATTATGGATGGTATTGGTATGGCCGTTGGGTCTCTCTTGTGGAACACAGTAACTTGCATAGTGGGATGGGGTGTGTCCCGATTTGGGTTGTTCGGGAGTCCCAAGAAAGTTCCTCTCGACAATATCATGAACCTTATCGGAATCGTTGTTGTTTGCATCGGGTAAGGATAGGCAACCATTTCAACCAATATTGTTTACAGCCAAAATATAAAATCGTAGCAATATTGACGCAATTATAATCAAAACTTAGCTTTTGACCAAGTTCAAAAAAAACCGAGAAACCAGAAACTGATTTCGTTGAGAAAAGAATCCGTATTACAGAGGTTGCTTTTTTGCTACGCTCAAACACCATCCGATGAAAGTAAGACCTGCTCCTTGGCAGATAAAGGTGTGTGTAAATTTTAGTTCTGACTTTCGCAATAAGCTTATCATTTATAGCCGCAGCTACCATGTAACGGGAAAGATCTGAAAGGCGAACAGGAGGTGTCAAGCACGAGGAGAATAATGTAAGTCTATGATTTCTGCATATGACTATTGCGCTTCAAAACTTAGCTTACATCTAACAAAAAAACACCCGTGGTTGGAAAACCCTACCTTGACATAATGACTGCTAAGAATTTTTGTGACATTTTTCCAGGCTGTTTTTGACAGCTCCTTCACTGTTATATTTCTGCGTTGCTTTATGAGATGCACGAGTATCATAACTACATGCAAAACCAGAATCTTAATTGCTGTTTTTTGATTGCGGCATAAAAACATTACTAACACTAAAATAATGTAAAAAATTACATTCTGAAATTGGCTTAATGCGCACAGATGGGAGGCATTAGTAGTGTACTGTTTTTCTTCTGCTTCGCAGTTAATAAAAATTTTGCGTCAGAAAATGATAGAAAAGTAGCCTGTTGCACGAACTAGTTCCATGCATAAAGTCTCACATTTTAGAGCCATCGTATGCACAATCATCGTCGGATGCTTGTACGGCAACATGCTTACTCCTATTAGTTACTTGATCATGGAATATGCAGACGATGGGCTATTGACACACTACGCTACCTACTTTTTCTCGTTCTGTGTTGGTGCAGTGTTGACATCTACCGTGATCTTCATGTTCTACTCTGGATTTAAGTCAGTATGCAAATTTTTGTGGTGTTTTGCCTTTCGTGCAATTGATTGTTTAGGAAAAATCGTCCATTTATAAATCCAGAAATAACATTACCATCGTTGCTTGCTGGTATAATGTATGGAGCTGCTACTTTCTTCTTTTTCTTAGCAAGTGAACACCTTGACCCGGTACGTTGACGCTGCCGTAACAAATTTTATAGAGGCTATAGAGTGAAAAGAGTAGCGGAATGGTTTCCATGTTGCTTGCAGATTGTCGCTTACCCAATTTTGGCTAAGGCACCTGGAATCGTTTGCGCTATATGGGCTATAGCACTTTTTAAAGAGATAAAAGTGGGTTTGATAATGCGGAAAGCTCAGGAACGTGGAAGCACGAAGTTTTTTCAGGGCCGCTGGGATATTATACACTTGATCGCTGGGATTGTTGTCACTGTGGTTGGCATCACTCTAATAACTTTATCAAAAGTTGCGAGATTATTTTGATTGCATTTAGCTTCACTGCTAGTGTATTGTTCGGTTTTCATGCGTGTATGAAACCTCTGATCTCGCAACCACATTTTGCTTTCTTCCGGTTGTGGAAGAAATTTTATTTATTACAAGTTACAATAAAGTTTGATAAATTTAGTACGTCCATATTTTCGTAAAGCTTATGTGAAAATGCTAAGCAGATATCTATATTAAACGATACTGCCAATTTCCACAGTCAAACGAGTGAGGTACTCTCAAAATTTTGATATTTTGGCCCGAGTAAACCCCAGTTCAGCTCAACTCGGCTGAGGCGGGCCTAAGTTGAACTTGATACGCCTCAATACGGCATTCGGTGAACTATCGATCAAGATGCAGATCACTTTTGGACGTGAAGATCTTTTGCGTCCTCAGAAAGGAAACACTTGAGCAAATTTGATCGAAGACCAAGGAAAAGGCTAAGGGATTAGGGTCTACCGCGCCTATGGCATGGTTCGGGGCTAATGCCGAGTTTTTGCGGCATAACCGGGAAATCTTCGATGGCGGCCGCTATCGCAAAAAGTCGGTGATGAAAGTTATCAAGCATATCACCTAGCAAATATGAAAAAATTTTTGACGAAGATTTCATAAAAAATACTGAGATTTTTTTTGCAACATAGAGTAGAATGAATTAAACAGATAGATCCTCGTATAGTGTAGCTTCTAAAAAACTAATTGTAAGCTCACTCCGCGAAGAAAAAGAATAGATCCTTATCTTTGTCCCTGCCTTTCTTGCAGCAATCAGCTGTTCTTTAACCTCGCCCATTTTGACCCCCGAAATTGTGAAGTTCTGGGAGTTTTGCACCGCAACAGTGCGTCAACCAAATTAATTGAATTGTCTCGTAAGTTACTCACGAGTTACGAAAGTTTTATCTGAATTTCCTGGTTTGCACACTATCTCCCTCAGTTCAATCTAGGATCTACCCTCGACTAAGTGGCATTACATTGAATTAACCATGACACTTAGCCCGACAGTCTTCTGACTGTTCAACTTGCTTATTAATTGGATGCTGGCCTCCGTATGGTGTCTGCTAGCTTATCATGATGAAATTCGCCTCTCCTCATTAATAAATGCCGGTTTCCACAGTGGCTACGTGTATGGAATGAGTGAGTGAACGATAGTCAATGATTCACTCGGTAAAAGAACGCTTTCTGGTTGGGCTTCTCATAGTATAAGAAACAAAAATTTATAAAGCTCAATAAAAAATCGATGCCAAGGGAAGGGCTTGCGCAGTCTCGAAAGCTCTTTCACTTTTGTGAGCCAGAGTACATAGTGTGGTAGGATTTTATGTCCCATGAGGTGAGACAAGGTTAAAGGCGTTAGCACTGCAGCAGTATAAATCACAGAGCAGTGTCCGTGTTGTGCTCGGAGCAACGTTGTTGCGTCCATTGAAGACAGTTCATGACCGGAAGAGGCGCAGAGAAAACAAGCTGCAAGAGTGCACGAGGAATTACCACGAAATACTGCAGGAAATAAATTGGTCCGATCGCAGTCAAGGGACGAGACTCAATCTATCTATACTAGTCAGACGCTTACAAATAGTTTTAGCACGAATATACCAAATCAGAAAGATCTTAGCACTGATTCATGGAAGTAGAGATCAAATGTACAAAATTGAATTTCGCCTCTATATCAAGCGACACCTTTTTATCAAAATAATGAAAACAGTATCGTCGAAATTATAGCCTACCGCAGTCATCCACAAGCACAGTGGGGTAGCCTACTCAGTGGCAAGACCTTAGGTCTAACTCAGTAGGGTAATCTACCCAAGACCTCGATTTACACACTGGTAGGCGCGCCCGCTACAAATGCCACTGTCGCGTGGTTAGCTTACCCAGCAGCGCTGACGTCGGCAACGGATTGACATCTATTCAAAGCACACCCTGGCGCCGTCGCTGTGTGCGTTTCTTACAATTTTTGTAATTTGTTTTCCTTCATAAGTCCTTTTATAATTCTTCATGTTACTACCTCTCTACCATGTATTCAAGGCGCCTCAGCCAGCTTACCTAACGTGAAGAGGTCCCGAAGCACTCTCGATTTGCTTGGCGTTTTTCCCATGCAAGCTCATTGCTGAAATCGACCGCGTAACCAAATCACTAACTGAAGACTTCCAACTTCCGTGTGGTTGAGATGGAGCACAGAAAATTACTGAGCATAAAACCCTATGCAAAACCCCTATGTCCCAAACGAAACGAAATTGATTATAGTCATTCTCGAGCAACATCAACACTTAATTTAGACAGTTTCATCATAGCATGCGTTTTAATAATTGTCTAATCACCTCAAATCTGTCGACTGCAATATTTTTATCCCAAAAATCCAGAGATAATATGATGATATCGGTTCAAGCACATAACAATTGATAAGGACTTTTTATTTGTGTCGGAATCATTCAAATTTGTTCCAGAAATTGGTCTCATGACAAAAGAAAAAAGTCAAATCGTCAGCGATTCGAAAAATCAAATGACAAAATGAAGCTGATGCTACTCGAGAGTAGCGAAGTATTTTATCAACGACGAGCCACTTTATAGCTCCAGTGATTATTCGCCTTATTCTTTTGACGGTAACTACAATGAACCTAATGAGGGAGCAATCATTAATGAAAACCCAACACTCAAATCCAATATTTATTTTTGAACTTTTGGGAGCGATATAAAACGCCACAGAAGTCTTGCACGACACCACCACATTTGGCTTTGCTTCGTCGTTACACATTCTGCATGACATTTAACGGGACGGCAAGATTCAATTTCATCCACATGCTTTTTAAGACAAGAATTTCAGAGTTTTTCAGTGCAAGACTTATCGGATCAGCTTACACTTACGTGTATCACCTGATGCCAAATGGCCGTACTTGAAAAGTTGGTTGGTGCAGAAATGATGTGCGTGGCTTATGGGCAATGCTAAAATGAGTTTTCCCAGAAATCAAAGCAAACTACAGGCTGAAAACACTCAGGCTTCCAAAGCTTTGTGGACGCACTATCTGGATTGACGGAGAGGAGGTGGAGGGAAAGTTTGCCAATTTTCGGTTATTAAAACTACAGCATGCATGAATGAATGTTACTACGTGTCTACTATATGATCAATTGGGAAACTAGCGGAATTTTTTGTCCGAAGATCTAGTTTTTGGCTGGCTAAATGCCCACAGTATCTGCTTTCACACTTTGCGTGGATCGGCGATTTTCGTAGATCATTGATAGTCACTTCGTAGAGCTTGCTCCATCGTAACAGATGGTGTCCCGCATATATACAGGGTGTCCCAAAAAGATGTGCACACTGTTTGATTGTAAATAACTCTTTTGTAGTGAAGTGTTTCGAGAAGCTTTAGGTACCATTCTGTAGAGCGAGGTTCAACTTAGATTTACAGTGTAGAGCGGATCGCCGATCTCTCATTCTTACTATAGGATTACGGTAGAAACTTTGAAGAGGGTTTTGAGCCATGAAAGGCCATATTTTGTTCCAAAAAGAAACCAAAACAATCTGAAAACTCTCACACTGGGCTAAATAGAGTTGCTGATTCTAATTGTGAAGTTCGCAACTCTTCATAATGCTTCATTAAAAAATTATGCGAGTAAGCAGCCAGCAGACGTTTTTTAAGTGTACCTAAAAAGTGCGGTTACACCGTTTAGAAAGCTTCTCAACCTTGTAGAGAGTTGGGTATTGAACTCCGGATCCATAAAACCCTATTACACAAATTTCCACATTTTTTTGAAAATTTTTGAAACGGCCCCTTTTTTCACAGTGACACCATATGTTTGAAGTTTCTACCGTACTCCTACACTAAGAATGAACGACCGGCGATTCGCTCTACACTGTAAGTCTAAGTTGAACCTCGCTCTACAAAATAGTACCTAAAGCTTCTCGAAACACTTCACTACAAGAGAGTTATTCACAATCAAACAGTGTGCACATCTTTTTGGGACACCCTGTATTTCCTACGCTCAAACACTCTGGTAGCGCAGGCTATCTACATTATTTTTCGTCACCCTAAAAGGGCTCAACACTCTTACCTCTTTCATCTAACCAAATTCTCTGAGAATTCTTGTTCTTTCTCTAGTTCTAATTTTAAGTACTCAAGACATCCAAAGCGTCCTTTGTTTCTACACTCCTCAAATAACATGAAAGTCAGCGTTCTTACTTCTATTTTCTCCTTTTGATTCTTTGTCTCTACTTCACTTCTCCATCAAAGTCTTTGTCAGGTTTGTCTGATGTATACCATATAAATATCGCAAACTGTTCGCCCTTCGTGCCGACCGGAAAGTAAATACATCAATGAGAATGTTCAAAATCCAAAGATTTGACATACCACTTCCCATTAGAAATGTAGACCACTTCCTATAACATTCCACACAGATATTTAGCAACACATCAAGCACATTTAAGTAGGTTGGTGCAGAATTAATGCATGTTTTTGCAAGCGCCTTTTTACAACATATTTTTCTATCGATTTTATTATTTCAAACAACTTCAACATATTATCTGCAATTCTTTTTGTCTTTTCTCGTACTTGTTTTTCTTCGTCAAAACATTGACTCAAATTGTATCATTTGAACTTGAGCTTAAATCCCCATTGCTATAATCTATATGTAAATAAAACTCAATGTCTGAAGGTTTTGGTTTGTTTGTCCGTGTTTTACAGAGACGCCGGCCGTTGAACCGATTAAGACCGATTAGACTGAGTTTTTGCACACTTATTATTCGACCCCTGCGCAAATTATAAGTCACTTTTCAAGGCGATTCCCAGGATTCTTCTACTGATTTATCGACTTGTTTACTTACATCTAGGAAATTATGCTTCTCGTACTTTAACTCATTTTCCAATAAACTTATGTAAGCAAGGGCGGTCAAACTCATTCTAATTTCAAAGTCGGCAGGATCGTCTCAAAGTGCTTTTCGCGTATGATAGAAGGAGTTTGAAAGCCCAAGCAACGCATTTTATTGGCCTAACTAGTTTAGTCTTGGGTGGACCGGGATCGCA